AATTCTTCTCTAGATTGGGTGAAGAAAGGATGCTGGAGAGCTCTGATTCTACACGACTCTAAGCTATCGGCTGGACTGGAGATCATAACCTCTAGCATGGAAGCAAAAATAAGGTGGCATGTTCCTGTGACTTCTACAGTATCTTTGTCAGCTTTATAGTAAATCTTGAAGTTGGGTAGTGTCAATCCTCTGACTTTATTCATCAGTATTTTGCTAGTTATTTTTTGTCTTCTTATGCCTTTCTTTCTCTCTCTCTCTGTTTTTTCTTTTTTTGTTTCTTTATTTGTTTCTTTGAGTCTCACTCTTGTCACCCAGGCTGGAGTACAGTGGAACAATCTTGGCAGCTCACTGCAACCTCTGCCTCCCAGGTTCAAGTGATTCTCTTGGCTCAGCCTCCTGAGTAGCTGTGATTACAGGTGCCCACCACCACACCCAGCTAAATTATGTATTTTTAGTAGAGATGGGGTTTCACCAGGTTAGACAGGTTGGTCTCGAACTCATGACTGCAGGTAATCTGCCTGCCTCGGCCTCTCAAATTGCTGGGATTACAGTATATTTCATATAAAATTTAGAATCATTTGATTGATATCCACAAAATCTGCTGGCATTTTTATTGGGATTGTATTGACTCATAATATATATCAAGTTGAAAAGAATGGGCATATTAACAAAATTGAGTTCCTCTCCATGAATATGGAATATTTCTCCATATATTTAGATCTTCTTTGATTTGTTTCTTTCATTCATTTTGTGCTCTTCGTCATATAGATCTTATATGTATTTTGCTAAATTCACTTTATTTGTATGTGTGTTAATATAAATGGCATTGCAGTTTAGCTTTGAAATTCCAATTGTTCATTGCTGGTATTTTAAATTTCAAATTCCAATTGTTCATTGTTGATATATAGAACAATTGGTGATTAATAATATATTTTGAATAATTTAATGAATGAATTACAAGTGTTCTATGAGGATCAGAAGTATTCCCTAGAGGCCAACACACTCTGCTGCAGAGTAATTTTCTAATTCATGTCTCTGTGATTTTTTTCACAGATCCAAGTCACTTAAAAAAGATGCTTACATCTCAGCTATTGGTCCAGTCAAACCTTCAAAAAAAAATCATAGCATATGCTCAACTACAGTTTATTGGAAAGAACATTTGAACATGAGTGAAAAAGAAACTAAGTTCTAGGACGACATGTCTTCTACTTAACTGTGTATGTAATAAATCACTAAGCCACTCTGGCTTCCCTAAGATTCTTCCTCTAAAATTTATTTTTTAAAGAGAAGGGCAATATTTCTGTAGGAACTTCTTGTTCAAGTTTCACATTTAGAATTATGAAACTTACCTATAAACCCTATGAAAGTGAAATATTCTCCAAGTAAATAGGTGGTCCTTTCCCCAGAAAATCATTGAAAAAGTGGCTCCAATGAAATAAAATTACAAAAACAACTAGTAAATCAATCTATTTTGGCTGAACACCAGAGATATCATATGCAATCTATATTTTTTCCCCAAGTTTTACATAACCTGATTAGCCATGATAGAACTTTTTAATGTTACAGTAAATAGGTAGCATTATAATTCTGAAATAAGTTAGATATAAGAAAAACCTGAATTTTATTCCCACTCCAGCGTCTCCCTCTACTTGAGCAATCTTGTATGACACTCAATCTCAGTTCCACATCTTATATTGGGAGAGATAATAGTAATAGAAAATTCCTCAGGATTACTGAGAGACACTAAAAGATAATATTTGTAAACTATATACCACAGATACTTTGTGCACATAAGTATTTGTTACATGTTGGTTGATTCTGTAATAATTTTCCTTCACTTAGTTTGAAAGCACTGGGATTGTAATAAGCAAGGGTAAAATTTTAAGAATGGCTAATGAAATAATTTTAAAAATATATTTTAACACATTTGGAAAGCCATCCTGTTTTCAACCAACAGGCCACATCAGTGTCTGCATGCTTGCTTAACTTACCTTTCTGTGCAGGCACAAAGAATCTGAGGTGTCACTTAAAACAAATACATGGTGATTCATCAAAATATCCATAGATATTTTTATTTTTAATATAAAATATTAAAAATGGCATATTTTTATTAAAAGTACTTGAAGGCTTCTAATGAAAATGTTTATATTCACATGGAAGTATAATCTGTTTTTCAGAGATTTTTCTTCATTTATTTCTAGTGTTAATTTTAATTTTGACATCTGGGAAGTCTTAGATTAGATTATTTTCTATCGTTACCCATGAACAGGGCAAATAAGAATTTTGCATAATTGCTTTTGCCTCTTTTTGATTTTTAAAGGCAAAAATATTTATCGCTACAAAATTTTAAAGTACAGAAAAGTATTAAAAACACAAGCAAATAAAACAGTCATAATATTAACACTAAGAGAAATACTACAGCATTTTAACATTTGAGACATGTATATAAGATTATGTTAAGTAAGGGGACGTTATTTTCAATTTGTTTTACTCTTTCATTAGGTTTTCTTTATTACTCTTGGCATAAAAATACCAAGAAGTATGAAAATGTACCATTTGTAAAGAGATAATAATAGTCCCTAAGAAGCACAATAATTAAAATATAATTATTTTTCCACTCCAAAAGGAATTCATGTTTGGGAGCAGTGAAATTAGTCTAAAACAGGAAAAAGATGCACAAAATTCCTGAGAGTGAGATCCATTTTATCTGACAAGGGAATTCAACAAGAGAATTAGAGACTGAATAGTGTTTTTGTTTACCCATACTAAACTGGTCAAAGAACTAAAACCTACATATAGGGGAAATGCTATGATATAGGGGAAATGCTATGATATCAAGGAAATGGACTAAAATATTAAAGAGCGTTCTCATTTTTGATGGCCAAATTCCATCCTGTAAGCAGTGCATTAGACGCTAATGACATACGATTTCTCACTGACAGATTTAACAGCATCAATAAGGCCTGTCTGTCCATTGGAGCAAATTGATCCTACATGACACTGACAAGGGCAGCTTGCACTTAATGACCTCCATCGCTGAAGGATGGAAATGAAAAATGATTGGAAGTACGAATAAATCTTGAAAGTTTCCCTGAAACAGGTGTTCTAAAACTGATTCGTCTGAGGGATCGCAAACATAAACCCAATCTCCTAGCGGTCTCCATTGTCGGTTCCTACTACAGTCTCAGTCCCTGTATCTTGCATTAAGATTTCTTTTAATTCCAAAATTTCTTTTAATTTTGCTCTTACTATGAAAATGTGATGTGAGGGCTTTCTCTTAAAAAACATGGGGTCTTACTATTTATGTATGTATCAGAAGAATTTGTCATTTGCCACCAGATGATTCTATATAAACTGATAAGTGCACACGTAATTTATTTTTTTTCCCCACCTCCAGCATAGGAAAAGAATATAGTATAGCCATTAATTATTTTCTCCTTCTCAATTATGGACAACAAATAGAACATGTTTAACCTCAAATAACAATGTCAAATGCATGAATTGATTGGACAAGTTCTTCACGGATACATACATGCCCTTTCTTTGAATCCTGCAAAATGGTTTGACAAGACTAAGATTTTGGCAGACAGTTGTATTATCAATTCTTTCCCAAACACACTTATTTCATTCTTCTTTTTTTTTTTTTTTGAGACAGAGTCTCACTCTGTTGTTCAGGCTGGAGTGCAGTGCCGCATTCTCAGCTCACTGCCATGTCCGCATCCTGGGCTAAGGCGGTCCTCCTGCCTCAGCCTTCCACGTAGCTGGGATTATAGGCGCACACCACTACATCTGGCTAATTTTTGTATTTTTAGTAGAGGCAGGGTTTCACTATGCTGGCCAGGCTGCTCTCAAACTCTTGACTTCAGGTGATCCTCCGACCTCAGCCTCCCAAACACACTTATCTTCATCTTGCTATCATTTCAAAATTTTAAGAGAAAAATACATTCTTCTCTTTCCCAATGTATTCAGAAGGTTTAAATCTCATGAGAATAGACAGATGGGAAATAGGGGAGTACATAGGCAGGATACCAGACGAATGTAATAATCACTTACAGTTGTATAGCATCCCTTTAATTTCACAGTAACTTATAATGAATGGCTCTTTTTTATTACTTACCAAGTATCCTGTGAGGTGAATATTATTTTGCAAATGATAAGACTGAGGTTGGAATAGGCAACTTGCCAAGATCATGGAACTGGTAGAACTTGCATTAAAATCCCACCTTTTGTCTTCCCAACATTCTATAATGAGGGATAAGTTTAGCACTGCTATTCTAAACTACTGATTTATAATGCAATACCATGGGTGACACCAGTAGGAGAAAGGATTATTTTGTTTTTCATCTATTTTCTGAAATTTGAATCCTGGGGGGAATTTTTTTACTTGTTACTGAGTATCTGGAGAATATAGAGGAAGGGGCTGTATCATAACACTCTAGTAATGGAAATTTTTCTTTTTTTTTTTTTTTGATTCAAAGCACATTGTGTGCTTTATCTTTCCACTTGTCATTACAGAAAATTTTACAAAACATATTTAGAATTCTCAATGATTTTCAGTAATCAGAGAAGGTCAGCTCTTTTTCCAAGTTTCCAGTTAATCTCCATATTTAATAAGAAAATAGTTATTAGAATTTGGAGCCCATATATCAAAAGGACAATTTAGAAGCCTATCATGGAAGATCACCCACTATTCAAATCGAAATATGAAGTCTATAATAACATATTGAAATCTACAAACAAAAAATGATATTTCTGTTCATATTAATTAAAAGCAAATTAGTATAAAATAGTGGATTAGAAACCAAGTTTTTCATTCCTCAACTGTTCTTTCAAAGTTCAAATTTAAAAGGTTGATACAAATGTACAACAAAACTACATAGAGAAAATATGCCACATTTTGGAGTATCATCATCAGATCAGAGATACACAAACTACTTTTCACTTTTGTAGTGCATATATGACATAAATCATTATCTTAAAACAATTAGAAAAACAAATACCTGTTTCTTATCTCTGATTGAGGCATCAAGTGATAGCTGTTTATCATATATATTGAAATAATTGTCCTTTTCCGTTAAGAATGTATTCTGTAGCTGTTGATACTCTCGAGCTAAACGCAGATTTTCTTCAAGTGAATCAGCTACTATTTTCTAGAAGATAAAAATACATACATATAATTTGTGTATGTATATACATACAATTAAAATCATTTGGATTTGTTTGAATTTTTACATCTTTTAAAATTATCTAAATTATTAAATTATGCTTTATTATGTATAGTAGAAAAATAAAACAACCAAAAAATGTTTCCCCTGATACCAACATCCTTTGTTGATTTAATAATATTCTTTTTTGATGCAGTTTTTATCTTAATTAACATTAATGTGTGATTCGTCAGAGTTTGTCTGACTTTTATTTCACCTCTTTGCACTGCCCTTTTCCTGAACTTCCTTCTATCATGCCTTGAAAAAGTATCTAGTCCTGGGACCCTCTACCCAGCATCCCAGGAGCACTTCTGCAGCTTCCTATCCTCTTCTCCTTTTCTCTAGCCCATGTGCTTTAAATTAGTAGATGGTACCTTGTAGCTTAGAATTTTATCTCCATGAAGTTCACAGAAAACATTAAAAAAATAAAGGAAGAAAGAGTAAAAGACAAGGAATAGGGAACTCAAGATTTAGAAGCACCCAGAGTCGTTGTTTATATTTAATATATTTTAATTATATTTAAATAAAAGTTAAATCCTTTATTGTGAGCAGTTGAGAACTTTATAATATCCTTCTCCACAACTAAATAAATATATGTCAAATCTAATGCAAACTCTTTAGAAAATAACTTTGTATCACCATTTATTGGCAAATTGGGGGCTACCTATAATTTTAAATTAAATGCATGAATTGAGTTTAGTTTCTGATATTTTAACATTTCTTGCACAGAAAACCTACTCTGACTGCTTAAAAAATATGGTATTTACCAACAGCATTTAATATTTTCAAACCTGTTAATCTAGTCATTTCTCTTTTGGGAATCTATTCTAAGCAAAATGCTTTATTCATTACAATGTTATTTATAATAGTAAAACAAGTTGTCAATGCATATAAATGCAGATTAATCATGATGATGATAATGATGATTAAATAACTAGATACAGAAATAACCAATGTGAAGCAATTAAAATTGTTTCTTTGTGAAAATTGCCATCACACCAAACCTTTAGTATGTTTTTAAAAAATATGTACCCATTTGAGAATGTTCATAGAGGAAATGTAATTCAGCAGAAAACTGCCTGTACAAATATTTCTTTATTTACACACCTGAAGATTTATTAAGGTCAACAAAAATATTTCTCATGAAAGCCTGCTATCCATATTGATCCCTAATGATAAATATTATGTCACAGCTATTCTTCAAAAAGCCAAAATGAGAATCATTTTAAATGCCCTTGTCTTAATTCTGTCACAATAATTTAAGACTTCAGAAACTTCTATCTACAAACTTGCCTAAAATCACATTGAATTATCTTTTGTTAGGAGGATAAAGTTCTATTAATATTTTCCTTTGGTAAGGGCCGGGCGCGGTGGCTCAAGCCTGTAATCCCAGCACTTTGGGAGGCCGAGGCGGGTGGATCACAAGGTCAAGAGATCGAGACCAACCTGGTCAACATGGTGAAACCCCGTCTCTACTAAAATACAAAAAATTAGCTGGGCATGGTGGCGCGTGCCTGTAATCCCAGCTACTCAGGAGGCTGAGGCAGGAGAATTACCTGAACCTAGGAGGCGGAGGTTGCGGTGAGCCGAGATCGCGCCATTGCACTCCAGCCTGGGTAACAAGAACGAAACTCCGTCTCAAAAAAAAAAAAAAAAAAAAAAAATTTCCTTTGGTAGAGATTCTTTTAAAAAAATAGCTATACTAATTTTAGGTATCAACATTAATATTAAAATCCAATCCTGAAATGATTAACTTGTTTAACACTAATAAATATTCTAAGAAATAGGTATCACTTTGAGTTTTTCATTAATCTGTTTGTTTGATTTAATCTAAGCACAATTTTGATATCTGAGATATCCTACTTCTTAGTTACTTTTCTTTCAATTTCTATATGGCCACTACAAACATTTAATAGAGAGGAGTAATACAAGTTATGGGATTTGCATTTTACCTATTTAATGGAACTTAAATGGGAAAATATTTTATAACATATACTTTGCTCACTGTTTGATACGCAGTTTGATTTCTAAATGCATACATTTTCAATTTCTGAGTATCAGTTCTTACCACTTTATATATTGCAATTAGAATACATACTAAAAAATCAAATTGTGTAGTTATGCCAATAAATCTTTAAAATGTTAAATCAATCACAACATTTTACATTATCATTTTCCAGTAATGACTATATGAAGGATATACCAATGCACTACTTATGCCTGAAAGTCAGTGACCTTCAGATGTGTAATGAAGTTTAAGTTTTATTAATTTTAATGATAGTATTCATTTGACACTGAAAATGCTTTTTTTAAGTTTAACTCTGAGTCCACCTCACAACTTTGACTTGTTTAATTTTAACCAATAATATTGTTACATGTAAATGACACAAAGGGGGAATGATAGTTATTGGAGGAAATATGTCCTAGGGAAATGGTTGATAAAAGGATAATTGGAATGTAGAATTTTTATTTTTTTCACTTTTTAAATTTTCATTCAAAAGGTCTAAATACATATATCACTTTCTAAAAGAATTTATTCTTATTTATTCAATTTCAGTTATTAGTGATTGAGATGAGAAAACATTGGGAAGATAGTGTGGTGAAGAGAAGAGACATTATGAATGTTTGTTAATGGTTTCCATATTCTAGAATTTATTAAGAAAAATATTTTGCCTATTGATGGTTTGTTCTTTATTATCACAAATTTTTCATTAAACCTTGATAGTTCTGGGATATTACAGCTTTTTTTCCCAATATTTTATTATAAAATAAAGATTATGCTTATAAGGACTGAAAAAAATCTAGATTGTAGGTTCCATGAGGGCTGGGACCATCATTTTGTTCACCCTGAGAGATGTTGCACTGGGAAGATCTAACATAAGTAGGTGCACAAGTTTTCAGTAAGTGAATGAATGCATGCATACACATAGCTGTAGTTAGGAAATACATATATCGTACCCTTTGGAACCACACATTTTATTTTTCAACTTCTATGCAGTAACCAATTGGCGATATAACCACCATTATAATATGGCACATTCATTATACTATTTGATACTGTACTACTTGACTGGTGAAGATCTTAAGCATATAGAGATAATTCATACAATAAGTTTTTGTCTTAAAAACTATTTTAAAGATAACCATATTGCCCAGCTTAATAATGTCTTTCTTTTGGGTGAGTCATTGACTTTGAGAAGGTATGTGAACCTCATGAAACTGTACATAGCATTTTTCTTGCATTATCTAGTTAGCTCATGATCCCAAAAGTGTTGATGAACCATTGTTAAAGAAAGCCTTGGCTTCCTCCTCTGTCATCAAAAATGCTGGAAAATGGAGACAGGTTGAGTATTCAAAATACACAAATAGTGGTTTTACTCTTTTTTTCCCCCTCACTTGACTTTTCTTATTCTTTAAGCCATAGATTCCACTTGGACTTTTCCTCAATTTTCACCACTGTCATTTTATTTTTCCTTCTTTCTGTCTCTCATTGGATAAGTGGGGACTAGGGATTTCCAATCAGAGAACTGGTTCTTTTTGGGGAAAAAAACCTATATCATATTTCTCTTTCAATTTGTGATATATAGCAAAAAATTAGAAATAAGGCTGAACTTGCACATATAGTAAGTAACAACTGAGACTTACAGTCACCTTTAGAAGAAAGGCAACTACCCAGGATAGAAAATCTTCATTGTAACTGAATGTACGACATTAACAACCCTTCTCTCCCTAAAAAGAATATGCCACTTTAAAAGAAGTCGAGAAGCAGTGGAAGCAAAATAAAAAATTCAGGGATACAAACATAGCCAGTGCCTATCAACAGGAAATATTCCTCCAGGCTCAAAGCTTCAACCACCTCAGTTCTGTAAACCATTCCACTCCCACTTTAGTATTAGGTATGCTGTGTTACATTAGCTTGATGACAAAAATGAGAATTAGAAAAAGAGTAAAAGCTAACATTAGGGAGTGCTTACTATAACCAGGAGCTATTCTAAGAATAGCTGAATTTATACTTGTAGCAATGGTCTGAGATTTTACATTATTATCCTCATGTTATAGATAAGAAAGACAAGGCAAGGAGATAGCAGTTGAGGCAAACTGTATTTTCCAAAAATGGCCACAACAATATTTTCAGTCTCACATTTTTTTTCCAGAACCTTATCACTTCCTATCAAAAGGTACAGCCTATTTCTCCTTCTTTTGAACCTCAGTAGACTTGTGGCTTTTTCAGCTAATTGAGGATGATATAAATGATGCTAAGTGACTTCCCAGGCTGGTTTATATGATAGAAAGCATACAGTTTCTACCTGGCACTCTCTTTGAGGGCATTCACCCTTGGAACCTGCCACCACATTGTAAGGAATTTAGGCCAGAGGCCATGTGTAGGTCTTCAAGCAAACAGTCTTAGCTCAAGTCTCAGCCAACAGCACCAACTGTGAGTAAATGAGTCATCTGAAGAGAAATCCCATCCCTAGTCTCCAAGTCATCCAACTGATGTCCAGAAAGAGTGAAACAGACATGCTATCTCTGCTCTGCCTTGTCTAAGTGTCTGGCAAACAGAATCATGAGCATAGTCATTTTACAGCATGAAGTTTTGGGGTAGTTGTTATACAACCAAAGCAATTGAAATACCAGGTATCTTGTGCAAGGTGGCACAGCTATTAGGCAGAGGAGCTTGGCCACCTTGTCATCAAGTTAGACTGGCTCCAGATCCTGTACTGTTAACCATCCAATATATTCCCTTCATAAACATGAGACAGCGCTTTTATACACTATATGCGAAGCAGTCTTCATAAAATCTAATGAAATTAAATAATTAAATCAAATAACTGAATTCTGTGGTTCTAAGTCCATTTCCGCCTAGCAACTGTCTTCTTGTAATCTGGCTAACACCGCATTTTGACATAGATAAAACAGGTCGCTTATGGAAATTAAAATTTGGTCTC